TAGTATTCATTTCAATACATTTATATTTAAGTTTTTATTATTTTTTGTATTGTCAGAATTGGTTATTTAAAATATTAGATATTTCATGTTTTTATGATTATTGTTTGTAATATTTTGTTGAAACATATTTGTAATTTTAGTAGTGGTATTATCCCTAGTGATTCATACTGTATTATTTTATTTTTAATATCTTGATGTTATTATGCTCTCTTATTTCTTTAATTTGTTTTATTTCTACTTTATTCATTTATTAACAATTCAAAAACTTTCTTTAAATAATTTCAAATTAATTGTAATATATTCATTGATATTCATTCTTATCATTTACTTTCTTCATTCTATTTGTATCATTTTTATTATTTCTATTATTTCTATTTCTTATAAAGTAGTATTTAAATAATGATTTTATTAATTTCATAAATTTAATATTAAATTGATATTGTTTATATTACTTGGTTATTCTTCTTTACTTAATGTATAATTGTTTCTTTCTTATTTGATCTTTTTCTATTGTTTCTTATTCTTTTGTTTATTCTTATTTCTATTTATATCTTTATATTCTTGTTCTCCTTTGCCTGTATTTCTTGTTATTCTTTCTTATTATTTTATTTATTATTGTATGTTATTTAATATAATTAATCATTTGTAATAAAAGTAATGATATACAATAACATAATAAGTAATCTGCATTTAATTTAACAATTTAATGATATTCGATATTAAAACATTTAATTTTTATTTGATTCATTCAAGGTGTTGATTAAAATAATAAATAATTGAAATAAATCATCTTAATTCATTGTGATGGAGAATTTAATAAAACTAGAAAGAATTTATTTTATTAAAATTATAATTTAAAATATTTATATTAAAAATAAATACGATATTTACTGTATATCATATTAATGAAATATCCATTATATTATAAATGAATATAATCAATTAATCTTATGTTCATCATTCAAAACTTTTTCATTGTGAAATAATTAACATTCATTATTGTTTTATAAAATTCGTATTCAAAAATGAAATGGATATAATGAAGCATTGGTATAATAAATTGAACATTATTTGATGAATATAATTTAACAATATCATTAATTGTTATTGAGAATATTAAAATAAAGAATAGGTTATAATAAGAATGAATTACACAATATCAATGAATAGAATAATTAATGATAAATAAACAAATATTAAACAAAGAAGAAATAGAATGGGTTATACAGAAAGTGAAATAAAAAATAATGACTAATCTTCTTCTTGTTTTGTTTTATTATTTATTATTATTCCTTTCTTCTTTTTCTTTTGTTGTTATTCTATTGATTTCTTTATTTTCTTCTATTATTTGTTTGTTCTTATATTATTTATTATTCTTATTTTTATCTTATCTTTTTCTTTTTTAATATTTCCATATGTTATTTCTGTATTTTCTATGATAATAATTGGTGTTTCTATGTTATATTCTTCTGAATGTATTCTTTCAATTATATGATATTTCCGTATGATTTGTACATTGTTTAATCTTCCTAGTTTTGTTGAATTTTCTATTCTTCTTTCATTTCCTTGACTTGTTCCATTAGGAATACAAATGATTGTTCTTTCATTTTCTCCTTTCTTTTCTACTTCTTTCTTAATATTATTGAATATCATTGATAATTTACTTTCTGGTTTAATCATCATTTCTACTCATTTAATACTTTCTTTTCTAATTTTCACATTCTTCTTATCATTAGAAATGATTTCTTCAATTATTTTCTTTTCTTCTTCTTTTAAATATTTCATTCTATTAATTCTTTCATATTCATTTCCATCATACAAATACACATTCATTTCATCATATTCAATATCAATTATCATTGTTATTGTTTTACTTTTCATCTTTTATTTATTTTTAAGTTCATTAAACTGTAACTTATATTTATAATTCGAAAACATTCTTTTTTATTTTATCCTTATTTATCATTAATTGAATTTATATATTATAAAAACTAATAATAAATGGGTATGGTCAGGAGAATAGAAAATCTGCAAGAAGATATGAAAAGGATTTCAATGTGTATGTATTATTATCTCTAAAATAAATTTAAATGAGATAAATTTGATGAAATAAAAGAAATCATAAAGAAAATAAATAGATTAGAAGACCTAGTCAATGGAATGGTACAGAATAAAATGTATCATGATTAAAGGAACATGATGTAGATGAAATTAAAATGAAAACAGAATAAAAAATAATAGTCCATTATCATAGTGGATGACTTAAATTTAAGTCTAATGAAAATAAGTAATTAGAAACAAGAATTGACACATACATTGTATTATTTGACAAGAATGTCATCAATAAATTGTATGTAATAGATAAGAAGAATAAAAACAGTCTATTGTTTGATATGAGATTGTTGCAGATTATAATAGTAATGAAAGGTATTTAAAGAAAAGAAATATGATAAAGAAATTAAATAAAAATAGGCTAATAAAAATACTGAAAATAAGAGATATAAAAATAAATCCAGTAGTAATCCCTATATATCGATTAGTAAATGCAGAAAGCATTAGATTAATAAAAGAATTAAAAAATGAAATAAACTAATATTCAAGAAGTTAAAAGCTTCTAACAAAGAACGTAATAGAGTACTGTTTGTATCATAATAATAAACACTAAGAAAGAGACTAGATGATACTAAACTTAAAGAATAAAGAAACAAACCCTAATAATACTTAATTAATTACTTTTGTTATTGTTTCTTCTTTTCATTAAACTATTGATGACTTTAGAGTTTTTTCTCTTCCATGTGTTCTGATTTTTCATTCTCTTTTTTCTCATGTTTTTTGTGCTTTTTTTTATGTTCTTTCTTAGATCCTTTATCATGTTTTTTATGCTCTTTATCGTGTTTCTTGTGCTCTTTCTTTTCTTTAACGGTATCATCTTTTTCTTCTGTGGGTACTGTGAGTTTTGGCTTCTTTTCTTTTTCCTCTTTCTCCTTCTTGTGTTCTTTTTTCTTTTCTTTGTCTTCTTTCTTTTCTTTTTCCTCTTTCTCCTTCTTATGTTCTTTCTTTTCTTTGTATTCTTTCTCTTTCTGGTGTTCTTTCTTTTCTTTAACAATGTCAGTTTTGACTTCTTCAGTTGTTGTAGTTTTTGGTTTCTTTTCTTTTTCTTCCTTCTTAGACTCTTTTTTCTTTCCCTCCTTTTTAGACCCTTTCTTTTCTTCTTTCTCCTTGACACATTCTTTCTTTTCTTTAACAGTGTCAATTTTTGATTCTTCAGTTGTTGTAGGTTTTGACTTCTTTTCTTTTTTCTCTTTTTTAGATTTTTTCTTTTCTTTTTCTTCTTTATTTTCTTTAATAACATCGGCAGTTTTTTCTTCTGTGGGTATTGTGAGTTTTGGCTTCTTTTCTTTTTCCTCTTTACTAGTCTCTTTCTTTTCTTCCTTAGTATGTTCTTTCTTTTCTTCCTTAGTATGTTTTTCTTTGTTTTCTTCTTTCCTTTTTTTGCCTTCTTTAACTTTTTCTACAACTTTTGGCTCATCATTTGTTGGAAGTTTTGGTTTCTTTTCTTCCTTAGCATCAGTGTCTACTTTTCTTACGGTCAAACGACGAGCAAATTCATCAAGTGTAGTCACATCATTTTCTTTCGACTTCTTTTCTTTAGCGTCGTTGTCTTTTGTTTCTTCTTCTTTCTTTTCTTCTATAGCATTGTCATCAACTTTTCGTGGATTCAAACGACGAGTAAATGCCTCATCTCCATTTTCTTCTTTGAGACCACTGATTGGATCAACTTTTATGTCTTCTTTTATCATTTTGTTGTCTTTAATTTCTGACTTTTCATCTTCTTTTTTCTCATTTTTCTTATCCTCTTTCTTGTCTTCAGTTGTATTAATACTTACTCTCTTACGTGGTGGAAGCCATTGTTCTTTCTCTTCTTCGTTAGTGTCAGTATTTACTTTTCGTACAGTTAAACGACGAGCAAATTCCTCATCAATATTCACTTTAATCTGGTTAGATGTCTTTTCCTTGATATTGTTATCTTTTGTTTCTTTTTTTGATTGAGCCGACTTTGGTTTTTTCTCATGTTTTTTATGACCTTTTTTATCTTGTTTCTTAACTTCATTGTTTTCTTCTTTCTCATCTAAATCTTCTTGTTGTAAAGCAAAAGAATGAATGAAACATTCTCCCTCAGAAACATTTTGATTTTGACTAAATTTATTAATAAGTAATTGGACTTGGTTAACTTCGATTTGAGAAATTTTATCTTCTATAACTTTACTTGAATCCTCAAAAACTTTTTTTAAACCCTCATCTTGTTCTACTTTGGCAAATTTAATCAATGAAGCCAATATTGTTTCTCTAAGGTCATTCATTCTATCAAGAACTGACTCTTCAGTTGAAATATATCTTCCATTTTCAGGAGGAACAAGTTTAAGTTGACTATAAATTTTTTTGACTAAAGACTTTGTAATTTGAGGCTCATTTTTCTTTGGTTTAGTGAGCTCATCAATTTTTGATTTCTTTTGTTTTTTATCTCTCACGTCTTTTGTTTCTTTAATTAACAATTTTTCTTCTGCTTTAGTCTCAAAAATTTCGGTGTTTGCAGCTGCTGGCATTTCTGACTCTTCACACCCTGAAATTTCTTTAATAATTTCACTTGCCTCAATTGGTTTAAGAGCCATGATGTGTTGTTTAATCCGTTTTATTTTTTTAAAATTGCCTTAGGGTTAAAACGTGGTAGTACGTGTTTCAAAAAGAAAGTATTTTACCACTGTTTTCATTATTTATTTTATATATAATTTTATTTATATATTTGTTGGTATTTGATAAAATTATTTATAAAAAATAATACATAACATAAATTTCTATCTAATTTTGTTATTAAATCTTATTTCAAAAACTTTTTTATTGTTTTTTAGATTGAATCTAATAATTTCATTTCATCAAATACCAAAAATCTGTGTTTTATTGTTTAAAACTACCTTTCAACTTCATAGTCATTTAGGTGCTGAGCTTTGTTGGTAAGTAGTATAGAGTTTTATCAAAATTAATCCATAAAGAAATAATGAATTTTTCATTTTAGTGAATACTATTGTTTAATTTCTATCCTTACTTATCACTCTTTTCTCTCATTCTTTACAACTAAATAACACTTACAACTACTTCTTTCTAATTAAGATTGTCTTATAAATAATAAATTTTTCGTAAATAACTCCATTTATTTAATTCAAGACTCTTGTTTCTTTTAAGAAAGGATTCGTCTCAGTTTTGATACCTTAAGGTTGTTTTTTCTTTTTGAAACACAAACAAACTGATAGAACTGTCAATTTTATAATAGTGGAATAATAGCATTTTTTCAAAATATTAGAGATTCGTTTTGTCAGATTTAGAGGATTTAATTGGTCATGTTTACAGTAAAAAATGACAACGATTAGAAAGGTAATGATTATTTTTTAACTCTTCTTCAATGAAACCAACAACACTTAGATAATTCAATATGGTAAGAGAGTTAGAAGATATATAACCAGTATTATGACATTCACTGAAATCCAATAAACAATTTTTTCTGTAAAGTAGAAATAATTTAATAACAACTAAAACTAAACAAAAGAAAATTACTTTAGAAAGGTCAGTCAGTGACAAGAAGATAATAGTTGAAGAAAGATAACTGCAACCTTATTGTTACAAAAACAAACAGATAAATAATAGTTATGTTATTCTGTGAAAGAGGCATATACAAAACAATAAATTAAAGTGTTTAAGTAGGTCATAGAATTTGGTTATTTTATTGTTATTGGTTAGGAGGGATGTCAATAGAAATGATGAAATGGAGGGTGTGAATCTAACTCAAATGAAAAAAAGTTAATGTTAGTATATTGTAAAATAGGAAAAATTATAAAAGATATATCTCAGATAAAATGTAATGATAAAGAATTTAATTTATTTTAGATTGAGTAGGTGTAAATAATATTATACTGGTTATTTAAGTTATTGTGTTGTTTATTTAAGATAAGATTTGAGATTTTATTGTTTATGAATAGTTTTGTATAGTTTTGTTTTTAAAGAAGAGATAATAAAAAACAAATTATACTAAAAGTAATAAAATAATGTTATATCATGTACTTTATTTTCTTCCCTTTTTTGTGACTTTTTGGAAAGAAGATGATTGAATCTTGATAATTACTTTTCATTTTGAAGAAATGGCTGATCGTAAATTCTATTTAACAACAGTAGCACCTTCTACTTCTATTACTCATGCATTAGTTGCCAAACTCAATCAACCAGATGAACAATACCTTGTTATAGTAAAAAATACTATAGTTAATGTATATCAATTAACAACAACAGGTCTTGACTTAGTTTACACAAAACAATTTCCTTATAGTGTTTCATTTATTACTAAGTATCAATCAAAAGGAAGAAATTCAAAGGATTATTTGATATTTGTAACTAATAATCAACAGCTCGTCATTGCACAATTAAATGATAATAAAGAATTAAGTTTAGTATATTCAAATAATATTGAAGATCGTCTAGGAAGAACAGCTTTTTATGGAATTAGTGGGGTTGTTATTAGTAATAGCCATTTATTACTTCATTTATATAATCATTTAATTAAAATAATACCTCTTCCCAGAGAAGAAGAAAATTTACCAGAAGCACCATTCAATTTACGTATAGATGAACAAAGGGTTGTTGGGTTGTATTGTCTTCAATTGGACCAAAAACAAGTTATTGGAATTCACCATGAAATAAAGAATGATATTAAAGTTATTACATTTTATGAATTTAATATTGAATCTAAGACATTAAATCTTTATAATAAACAAATAGAAGATACATCAAATATTGATTTATTTATTCCTTATTTGGGAAATGAAGGATATTTCAAAATAAATTCACAAACAGTAAGTTTTGTTCCTAATTCAAATCAAATATCTAGTGTTTCAATGAGACCAATTCATCTTGAGACATATTGTTTTCTTGATGAAAAAAGGTTATTATTATCAGATAACAAAGGTAAAATGCATTTAATAACATTAAAAGAAAATAATAAACATGAAATAGAATTATATTATTATCCTTTAGAATATCAAGCATTAACTATTCCAAGTACTATATTATATCTTGATAATTCAGTATTATTCTGGGGGTCTAAAGGTGGGGATTCACATTTAATCAAAATTAATGAGAAAAGATGTGAAATATTAGAAACATTTGAAAATCGAGGACCAATATTAGATATGACAGCTATACATGATGAAATAACTAATAAAGATGATTTATTAATGTGTTGTAATACATATCAACAAGGAACTCTTAAATTAATAAGTTCAGGTGTAGGTATTGATATTATTTGTCAAAATGAAATGAAAGGAATTACACATTTATATCAAGTAGAAATGGGAAATAAAGAATATTTAATTATTAGTTATAGTGATAATAGTAAAGTATTTGAATCTCAACAAGAAAATAATCAATTACAATTTAATGAAATAGAAATTAAAGGATTTAATAGAAAAGAAGAAACAATTTGTAGTGGAATTATTGAAATTGGAGAAATGAAGGAAATTTGTTTTGTTCAGGTAACTAGAGAAGAGGTTAATATTTTTGATTCAGAACAACTTAAACTTATTCAACAAATTAGAGTCAATAAATTTATTTCTCATTCATGTATTTATGATGAAAAGTTATATATCAGTCAATCAAATGAAATTAATGTATTAAATGAGAAAAAAGAAATTAAACATATTTATTCTGGTGAAAATGATATTTCAGCATTTACTATTGGAAAAGAAGGAACTGAAGATGTTATTGGAATATGTTATTGGGATAGTAATAAAATGGAAATAATTAAATTAGAGAATGGAAATAAAAATCATATTAGAGAAATTAATGGGAATATTTATGGAAAATCAATTGAAATTATTAATAATAAAGAAGGAATGTATATTGTGATTGGAATGGGAGATGGAAGAGTATTAGTATATCAAATGGAAGAATTAATGGAAATAGAAGGAGAAATAACAAAGAATTATAAAGTACTTGATATTGGATTATCTGGAATTGAATTAAAAACATTAGAAATTAATGGAATGAAATATATTATGTGTTTATGTGATCGTCCAACATTAGTTTCTATTTATAAAGGAAAAATAAAAACATTATCAGTTAATTGTAGTGAAATTGTTTCAATTGTTCCATTTAAAATGAAAGAATGCATGAATAGTCTAATTGTTGCAACAAAAGAAAATATCATTATTGGTAATATTGAAGAGATTCAATCAATTCATACAAAAAGTTTATCTATTGGAGTATTTATAAGTCGAATAGTTATTTCAAAACAAGAAAATAAAGCATTATTATTGAGTAGTGAAATTAAAGAATTAAAAGAGAAAAGAATTGAAAGTCATTCTATTAAATTAATTGATTTTAGAAAAATGGAAATTGAAGATAGTCATGAATTAAAAGAAAATGAACATGCTTTATCTATTGAAGAAATTGTAGTTGATGAAAAAGAAATGTTTGTTATTGGAACTGCTTTTGCAAAACCAAATGAAGTAGAACCAAGTAGTGGAAGAATTCTTATTGTTCAAATAAAAGATGGAAAACTTGAAATTGTATTTGAGAAAGATGTTAATGGAGCTGTTTATTCAATAAAAACTCTACTCAAAAAATATTTGGCTATGTCTATAGAAAAGAAATTAGTTATATTTGAATATCAAAGAATTATAACAAATGGTGAATTTGAAGTTAAATTACAAGAGAAAGGAAGTTGTAATGTAAAGTTAATTGGATTATATGTTAAAACTATGGGAAATAAAATACTTGTTGGAGATCTTATGAAAAGTATTAGTGTTTATTCATTTGATAATAATGGAAATAATAAAAATTGTTTAAATGAAGTTAGTAGAGATTTCTATGCATCTTATACAACTGCAATTGAATTTGTTGATGAAAATTGTTATCTTAGTTCTGATAGTAATTCTAATTTATTAGTATTCAATACAAATTCTACTGGTAATGAATCAGAAAGATTTAGACTTAATAATTGTGCACATATTCATGTTGGAGAATGCATTAATGTAATGTGTAAAGGATCCATTGCACCAACTCATTCAACATATGAAACCATCCAGAAGAAATGTATATTATTTGGAGGAGTTACTGGATACATTGGTGGAATATGTGAAATTCCAAATGAAATATATGATATATTGATTAAAGTACAAAATCAAATTTTACTCCAAATGAAAGGCATTGTTGAATGCACAACACCTGATGAATGGAAAAAAGTTATTGATGATTGGAAACGAATGCCTTCAAGTAATATTATTGATGGAAATATTGTTGAGAGTTATTTGGAAATGTCTAAAGAAAAACAATGTGAAATTGCACATTTAAGTGGAGTTAATGAAGAACAAATAAATGATATCATAGAAAATATGATTAGTCTATTCCATTAATAATTTAGTTAAATTCTATTCTTTTTTACCTATTTTTTAATTAAATTGACTTTATGAACATGTTAATAAACCATTAATCATCTAATAAGTTTGTTATTTATCAAATTCTATTTTGTTGACTTTATTCAAACAATTACTTATTATGTTCTATTCTTCATAAACAATTAACTTAAAACATTTACTGAGTTATAAAGTATACAAAGGGTAAAGAGTTAAAAGTTGACAGATACTTTAGATGCACCACTTTCATTAGTTTTGTACAAAATGGGTTTACCGTCAGTAACGAGTTTCCGAAGATATTTATTATTAAGATAGTGTCACACCAAAATAGGTCTTTTAGACATAGCCTAGAAATTATCACGCATCACTGAATGTTAAAAAGGAAGAAGTAGTGTACATGACAATGAGAAAAAAATAAAAAAAAACACTGAAACTGACAAAAACAGTAACAATAAGTAATGAGAAATTAAAAAATAAAATGGATGAAATAGAAGATGATATTGATTTAAAAGAAGAAAGTGAAAAAGGTGAAGGTGTTGATGAGGAGATAGTTAAAGTTATAGTTGGAGATGCAATAAAAAAGGAAGTGAGAGAAGATTTAGTTATAGTAATTTCTACAAATAAAAGTTATGAGAAAAGAAATGTGGTAAAAGTGAAGTCAAGATATTTCAAGAAGAATAAGCAAGATAAACATATTAAGAAGTGAGTTTAATGATATTGAGGAAGAAAATACAAAAGAATAAAACAAAATTAAATTATAGTTTTCTGAAATACTTTTGTATAGTTTGATAATTGTTTTAATTACTTATTGTTATTTTTAAACAAAGAAAATAACAGATAATTATTGTAATATTTATAAAGTTATTCTCTTTTGATTAGAAACAGAACAACAATAAGTATTAAATGTTTTGTAATTTAAAAATACATTTGTTAGTTTAATTTATTATTATTAATTTATGTTTTAATATTAGATTAAAGTCTTGTTGATATAATTGTTGATGGTTGTATTATTAAATCTCATTTAAGTATTATTTATAAATGTAATAGATGATTTATTAGAGAGTTGTTAAAGAGTCTTATGATAATTATTTCATTTCATATTTTGGTTATCATTTCTTATATTCTTTATTATCTGTTCTTATGTTCTTTATTCAATGGCTAGAATGAAATATAAATTAAATAAAAGATAAAAGATAAAGAATGTAAGAATAAATTAAGAAGAATGATAGAATATAATAAATAAAATAAAATGAAACAATGATTAACATACAACACACAACAAATCATATAAATATGAAAAATATTTAATAAAAATGATAAACAATAAGAGATGATAAAAGAAGAAATGATAGAATGAACTAATATTTCATTATTTCATTTATTATTTAATAATTAGAATGATTCATTTATTATAATATTCATAATCATTCTGTTATTCATATTTTTACATCATTTATTAACATTCAGATTTAATATTTATTGAAAATAGTTAGAATAAATTAAATAATGAAGAAATTGATAAGATTAATTAAATGATAATAAAAAAAGAAATAACAACAAAATAAAATATATTGAAAGAAATATTCATTAACAAATTTAATGTAATGAATTTCTATGATAAAACAACAAACAACAACATTTTGAAGAAATAATAATAAAAACATAAAAGAAAACAACTAAAACAAGAAGAAATAAGAAAAGAAATCATTGATTCAAACATAAATTAAAATATCTTTAATTTATAAATCCAAAAAATAAACTTTCATTTAATATTATAAAAATAGTATTCAATTTTGTATCATTTCAACAACACTAATTCTGTTGATTATCATAAATTATTTCAAAATGAATTAAATTGTTTTATTCATCTGTTGTTTCATCTGTACTTCTATAATGTATTTTTTTAAAACAATCTCTTGGTATTCTTTCATTTTTCTTTAGCTCTTCTGTACATCCACATCTATAAAAACAAGAATTGCCAAATTTTGTAATTGTTGTTGGGATATTAATTGATTTTAATGAACACCATTTGAAACATTTCCATCCCAATTCACTAACTGTTGTTGGTATATTAATTGATGACAATGAATAACATTCTTTAAAACAACTATTCCCTAACTTAGTAATTGAAGATGGAATAATAAATTCATTAATATCTTTCTTTTCAATATTCTTTCCATTAATTATTTGTAGATTATATGGTATTTCAATACTAATTAATACAGGTTCATTCATAAATATTTTATTCTCACTAATAAAATGGACTTTGTCAATACTCATACTAGTTAATGATGAACATCCATAAAAACAATCTTTTCCTATTTCAATAACAGCCAATGGTATATTAATTGATGTTAATGATGAACATTCATAAAAACATCTAATACCTAACTCAGTTACTAGTGGTGGAATATTAATTGATTTTAGTGAATAACACAAGTTAAAACATTCATCTCCTATGAAACTGACTAATGGTGGAATAGTGATTGATGTTAATGATGAACATCCTTCAAAACAAAAATCCCAGAGTTGATTAACTCTTGTTGGTATATTAATTGTTGTTAATTCTTCACAGTTATAAAAACATTGATGTCCAATTATGCTAACTTCTGATGGTATTGTATTTCCATATTTTT